ACACTTAAGAAGTCTTGTTTCAAAAAGGGGAGAACAACGTAATAAAAATCTCCGAGCATTATTTTGTCAAGATGTGAGCTTTCATATACAGTAGATTCTTCTCTTGACTTAAGCCTCCTAATTCTTTGGGTATAATTGGAGCTGTTCTTCTTCTTCTGTGGTTCTTTACGTGAGAAATGGTTACAGCAGCACTCTGATGTTGCTGGGCTACATTCTGGGACAAAGGAGGGATATAAATAAACTTTAAAATATGTTTTAAAAATTGTCATGGTTTTATTTGTCGTGGGTTTTATTTGTTATAAATGGATACATTATAAATGAATAAATGGAAATAAATCAGATATCAGGAATGGGAATACACAAAAACTTATTGCAGAACACCTCAGTCTTCTTGGGCATTCCATCTCTGACTTCAGGACAGGAACAACCAAAAACTACAAAGGAAGACTGTAAAGAGAAACCGTTGAATTGTAACATATCCACAAACCCCACTCCATCAACAGTAGGTTGAAAAAGACAATGGCTTCTTGGAACACTACATATATTATAACCCTGGTTAACATCCCAACCAGTTTATCACATTTCCTTTCTGGTTCACAGCTTGCACACAGCACATTCCCAAACTCCCTCTCCTATTCATATGGCCACCCTGGCCTCAGGCAACCTCTTTCCTGCCTTTATCCCTCAAGGACTATAGTTAAAACTGAACTTGTCACCTCATCACCATATTCACAAGTTTTGCATTCCTACTACTATTCATACAGTCTGATTATAAAGGTCCTTCCTGGGTATGAGTTCACTGCATGCATCTGAGGAAATAGTCCAAGCCTACAAAAGCTCATGCTATAACATCTTTTGCTCATTCTCAAAAGAAGCTACAAGATCCCTTTGAACACTATGTATTCAACTGATATATTTTTTATTCTTCTCTGAGTACCTTGGCAAATGCAGTTCAGAGCACATAAAAGTTCCCCAGCAGGAATGCCAAGTACCTCACCAAACTACAAATGCTAGGATTCTATAGAATGGAACAATGACAGGTAAAGTAGAATCAAACTGCTATAAATAATACAGGATACATAAGGGATCGCCTCCTTTGGTACTGTCCGTCCCGCACACTAAGGTCCTCGGGGAAGAACCTACTTCAGCCGAGAAAA